TTTCGTTCTTTCTTACGCCCCCTCCACCCCTACACCCCCAACGCGCCAAACGACGTTTTTTATGATTAAAAAAAAGGCGGGAAATGATAATAAATCATAAATTCGATAGTATCGATGATTTATTTACATAAGAGTTTGAGTGTGCCGTACCTGAATTATAAGGTTAATAAGAGGTCAAAGGTTAAAATAAAAAGAATAATAGAATGCGATTCTTCCAGTATTCGACCCTTCGCTTTTTCACATTTGATATATGTTGTAGTTGTTGTTTTGTCTGTAAGCAAATGTTATTATTATTATTATTATTACTACACGTCAATGTTTGTGTTTGTCTCTCGCTTTTAATGTGATTTCATATCTCACAATCTCGATTCCTCCCTACATGTGTTGAAGGTTGCTGGAGATCGGCGAGATGAACTACGGTGGGAAAGGGAAGTCGAATGGAGGAAAAAAGGAATGCCAACCGGAAGTAGTAAAACTTCGAGTCCTCTTACAGAAAGAAGGCCACCACAAGAAGAATCAAGATACCCCCCTCAGACGTTGCCTTCAGGTGCGTGTGTGTGTGTGCGTCTGTAATTTTCATTAAAAGCAAGACAAATAAATAAAAAGTCGTTTTATTTAGTACAAGCGGAAGGAAACAGTGAAGACGACGAAGATGCTTCTATGCAGAAAGGAAATAGAAACAGAAGAAAATCAAGAATCGGGCGACAACATAGCTACGATGAAGAAATTAAAAATGCTGGTTCCAATCAATTTCCACCAAGCGAATCTGCTTTAGGTCTTCCTGCTGCTCTACCAAGACGTGCATCTGCATATGATGTGTACGCATTTCGTCAGGGTGAATCCGGGGGGCATCAAGGAACGAATCCGAACATTCCTCCAGGTGGAAGAAGAGCTTCATTTAGAGTTGTACCAAAACAAGAAGATCCCCTACGTAAATAAATAAATAATTTAACCGATGATCAAAATAAATAAAAGAAAATTTAAAACTCTTAAAATATTTTCAGCTTACGAACCTCAACCTGTTGTTCCCACTCCGGACAGTGTACCCGTATCAAGCCTCGCTATTGAAGATGACAGAAGAACACGAAGAAGAGGTTCACAATTGTAAGAAAACACGTCATCATCAATCATTTTAATAATTTATCCTTTCACGATACGAAAATTATTTACTTACAGGCCGGATATCAGTAACATAAGAGGTATTCATCAATCTGTACCTCCTAAAGGTCCACCAAGAGTTAATCCGGAAGCTATAATTAATGCGGAACCAATGAGAAGGCAGCCATCTTGTGACGGAGAAGCCATTAAAATTGTTATTGATGACGTCGATTCCGATGCGACTTTTGGTAAGGAAAAAAAAATTTTTTTTTTTTTTTTAAATCTTCTTTCTTAATATAATTAAAATGGCGTTTATTACTATAATTATTATTATTATTAAATATATATCGTGATACGATATTTCGAAAATATTTTTTAAAAAAAACGAAGACAATTAAAGACGTCGTGATAATAATAATAATTAATAAATGACAAAGTTTTGGATTATTATCCTTCCTTATTATTTAATAATTTTTCCGTTTTCAACCATTTTGAAACGTTTACTCTTTAACCTTTTCTCATAATAATAATAATAATAATAATAACAATCAAAAACTTTTGAGTTTTCATTTTCCCAAAAAAATTTAAAATTGTTTTATTGTTATTTTAAAAATTAGGTAATAATAAAAGAAAATTTTTCCGCCATTTTGATTTTAATAAAAAAAAAAAATTAAAACGTTCGACGTAATTAATTTTTCACCGCGTAAACGTAATAATGATGATAATGATAATGATAATTTTTTTTTTTATATATAATTACAGTTTCGAGGCCGGGATGTAGAAAGCGAGTCGTTTTAAGACGGGATCCAGGGGATAAAACACACAGGAGTAAGAAAGATTTTCTTTTTTATTAATTTTTTCCTTTTTTTTTTTTTGTTTAAGGTTTTTTTTTGCGAGAGAGAGAGAGAGAGAGAGAGAGAGGATGATGTTAAATCGATAAAATTTACCATCGCTACTGACATCTATATATATTATTTAAAAATTTATCATGTGCATTCACGCATATGCGTTTAAATATGCGTGAATTTGAATGATGAACGTGAATGAGAGAGGAAAAAAAAATAAAATTTAAAAAAAAATCAAATTAATAAATGACTACACGTCACATATATAAATAATGTTAATAATAGGTTTTCTAAAAATAAAAAAAAAAAGCTGAATTTAAAAAAAAAGGGGATTTTTTTGGAAATCCCGGGATACGGTTGGTTTAATCTGTATCCGAAGCACGTCGGTTAACGGCTCCAACAGCGAAAAGCTTCAGTCAAGGAAATTAGAATGATTGTTGCTCTCTGCTGGAACAAAAATTTTCCAGTTTGGAAATAAATAATTTAAATTAAAATTTTTCTTTTTAAAAATAGCAAGAGGTTTCGGAATGAGAGTCGTAGGTGGTAAAGCATCCATAGATGGAAGATTGTTTGCTTATATTGTATGGACGGTACCTGGAGGACCTGCAGAAAAAGCTGGACTCCAGCAAGGTGATAAGGTAATATTAACGTTTTTGTTCAGGGGGTAGGGGGGAATTTTTCACGGGAACAAATTAAAAAATTTTTATTTTTCTTTAATTAATAAAGATTTTAGAATGGTGTGGAGTATCACTCATCGATAGAAGTTTCGAAGAAGTTTGTTCAGTTATGGACCGTACAAGAGACGTTGCTGAACTTCTTGTAGAACACGCAAACGATTTGTAAGAATTTTTTTTTTTTTTTTTTTAAATTCATAACAAAAAAAAAATTGTTTCGATAATATTGACAAAACTTTTTTTTTTTTTGTTTATTTACATTTTTTTTTTTGTTTGTTCGGTTACTTCTCCAGTTAGAGATAAAAGTTTTTCTTTTTTCCTTTATCAATAAGCAAAAAAAAACTTATCAATTTCTTTTTTTTCTTTTAACTTTATAAAACTTTATTTGTTTGTTTGTTTTTTTAAAAAAATTTATTTAATAAAAAATTATGGAAAAATTTTTTTTTTTTGTCACAAGACTTTTTCACAAAAACTGGAAAATCTTCTCTCCCTTAAAAGAAAAAAAAGAAAACTAAACGATAATTATTTTTATTTAAAAATAAATTCTATTGGAAGAAAGAGAGAGAGAGTGAGAGAATGATAAAATTACCATAAATGAATAACAAAAAGTGTTTTTTGTTTGTTTGTTTGTTCGTTTTTTTTTAGGCGGATGTGCGATTTATTGGACAATCCAGGAGGGATTCAAATTCCTACCACAACAAGAAAAAGTTCAAATGCAGAACCAACAGGATTAACATTAGGTTATTTTATATATATATATATATTTTTGAAAAATTATTTATTTTAATACAAACAAACGACAAACGCAAACAAACAAAAAAAAAAAATTTATTTTCAGATTCGGATACGGATAAAGCTTCGACGTCACCAACCAGACGGAAGCTTCCAAAAACTCCGGTATAGAATATTTAAAAATAAAATTTATATTTATATTATTATTATTATTATTATTATTATTATTATTATTATTATTATTATTATTATTATTATTATCATTATCATTATTATTATTTTGTGTTCGAATTTAAAAATGAAAAAAAAAAAAAAAAATTGATTGTAGCTTTTAAAGCACGCTATTTATTAACAAAAACAAAAAAACCTTATTTATTTATTTATTTATTTTTTTAAAGTTAATAAATTTTTTTTCTTTTCTTTTATTACTATATAGGTATAGTTCGGAAAGCTATATTATAGTAAACTATAAATAAATTTAAAAAAAAAAAAAAAAGAGAAGAAAAAAAAATTGAAAAATTCGTTCGAAGCATTTCATACATAATTTATTTATTTAAAAATATTTTTTTAAAAAATTTATTATTATCATTATTATCATTATTATTACTATCGATTCGATAGATTTACGTTTGATTAATCAAAATAATAAAATTATTATTTTTTTATTTTTAATTACGTCATCATCAATAAGTCAATTTATTTAAAAATAAAAAAACAAAGAGTAAATAATTTTATTTATTTATTTATAAACGATTAATAAAATCCTGATGATTTTATTATTATTATTATTAATTTGTTAAAACGAATATTAAAAAAAAAAATTCGAATTTTCTGATTAGTCGATCGTTGAGTCGGTTAAAAAAATTTAAAAAAAAAATAAAATAAAATGAATGCATTTTCTCAAGTAATTTTTCATTGAATAAATAAAGAAGAGTTTCAAGACGATTTTGTAGAGAGGAAGAGAAGGTGGTGGTGAGAAGGGGAGGAGAGACGGCGGGGAGAAGGTGGGATGAGGGAAGGAAAGAAGGCGGGAAGAAGGAGGGAAGAAAAAAAGAAAACACGAAAGAGGAAGGAGAGAAATTTTTTTTTTTCTCAAATTTTTTTTCATATTTGATTTATATATATATATATTTTTTTTTTACAACGTTTTCACGACGTTCGTGTCAATAGAAAAAAAAAAAAAGAAAATTTATACATAAATTTTTTTTTACGATTCACGCGTTAAAAAAAAAAAAATTATTTATGAAAAGCTTCACTAATAAATAAATAAATAAATAAAAAGAAGAAATTTTAATTGTTATGTGTTTTGCTATCGTTTATTTATTTATTTAATTATTAATATTATTTATTTTTTTTGTTAATAATAATTTATTTATTTATTTATATTTATTTATTTTTATTAAATGTTAAAAAAAAAATTAAATAAATTAACAATAATAAAAAAACAATCAAAATCATTTTTAGGGTAATAAAAATAAAATTATAATAAAAAAAAAAACGCGACCAAAAATATTATTATTATTATTATTATTATTATTATTACGACTGTCCAATTAATAATTTTTATTAAGCCGTCGAATGATAATAATAATAAAACATTTTTTTGTAATTAATTCATGTATCAAACTTTAATAAATAAATAATAAAAAAAATCTTAATAAAAAAAATTATTTTAATCTGTACAAATAATAATAATAATAATAATAATAAAATGCTTTAATGTAAAATTTATATACGTATAAATTATAATAATAATAATAATGATAATAATAATAATAATATTTTATCATTATGTATTTTAGAATCGGAATGAAATCAATGATTCAATCACAATTTTTAATTGATTTTTTTTTTCTAAACGAAAAAAAAAAAATTAAAAATATATATAATATATATATATATATATTTATACTATATAATAATATAAATCGATGCAATCTGTTTATAAACGTTAAAATTCACGCGTAGATATTGACACGTTTTCGTTTTTTTTTAAATTTTTAAAATTTCGCGCGTAACTATATATCCGTCTATCTATCATATATACCCGTCTGCCTATCTATTTATACGTACTTACTTAAGCACATACAAACAAACAAACAAACAAAAATATATATATATATTTTCGATACGAATAAAAAATTATTTTCTGACTTTTTTACATTGAAAAAAAATTTTTTTTTTTTTATTAAAGGATTTGATTAACATGAAAATTTTCTTTTTTTCTTTTATATTTACATATCTTTAAATAGATTTTTATATTATATATCATATAAATATAAAAAAAAAAAAGAACTTGGGCTTTAAGCAGCATGATAATAATAATAAAATTTTTTTTACGACACACACACACACATATACGTGTGTTAATTACGATTATATGTAAATATTGTAAATAATTATAAATATAAATATGTATACACGCATAATTATTATTATTATTATTAATAATAATATATAAATAAGCAATAAATATATATTTCTTGATATTTTTATGACGTCACAAATTTTGTCTTAATACATATATATATATATGAATATTATTTTATAATAAAAGGAAAAATCTCAATAAGAAATTTACCTTTATTATTATTATTATTATTATTATTATTTACTACAAAATACTATTGTTAATGATATTAATTAATAAATTATTTAAACAGGGGGATGGGCAAAACGCTATTAAAAAAAGAAAATTATATTAAATATTATTATTATTATTATTAAACTAATAGATGATTAGATTGCGTATGTTATATTTATTATAATATTTGTAGGAGGCTTATTTTTAGTATACTTACTGAACTTTTAACTGTGATAAAAATAAATGACATATATATAATATAACTTTATTCGATAATCAAAAAAAAAAACAAATCTATCATTATTATTATTATTACTATTATTATTATCATTATCGTCGTCGTCGTGATATTAAAACCAAAAAAAAAAAAGAATTACACGCGAGTTTGTCTGCCTGTTGTCTCTGTTTGTTTTTATTTATTTATTTATTTATTAATATTAATTTTTTTTATATAACGCGTTTATATAAATAATGATGATGATAATGATGATGATGATAATGATAATAATTATGTAATTATTAATGTGTGAATTAATTAAGAAATCAAACAAAAAAAAGAATAGTGATGATCAAACGTTTACTCTATGTTTTCAACAATAAATGTTTATCACTTCAATCTCGTTATATATATATACATAAATATATATTTATAATATAATATTATATATTATAGTGTTGATAACTGTGCCAAAAAAAAAAAATAAACAAAAAAAATATGATAATAATAAATATTATTATATTATATTTTAGTTATCACAATTGGTTTTTTATAAATGATAATTTTATTTACGAATTTGCAACGGATCAACATTATTATTATTATCATTATTATTATCGATTTCACAAAATCAGTTATGGCATTTTTATTTTCATTTATCATTATTATTATTATTATCAGGACAATTAATTAATTAATTAATTATTAGGAAATTTAATTCGGGAAAGTAAATTTAAGTATATATTTTTATGTTGCAAATAAATATTTCGATAATTATTATTATTATTATTATTTTTCTTATATTGAGGAGTCGTTTAAAAAATAATTTATCTTTTTTCTCTCTCTCTCTCTGTCTTTCTCTCTTTGTTTTGAATATATATATGAAAGAGTCAAAAAAAAAAAGAAAATTTTAGAAAAAATAAGTTTTTTAACGGAGAGAGTTGGTTGCAACAACAACAATGACGGTCGTTAAAAGGGGAGGGAGGGGAGGGGGAAATTTGTTGTAGTGTGAAAAAAAAATTAATAATTAATTAATTATTTTGGGGCCCTTAAAAATTCACTACAACAATCTTCGTCAAATTGTGAATTAAATTTTTCATTTTTTAACTGGAATCATCTTCCGTCGTTAATTACAATCAATCGTCGAGGATATTTTAATAAAAAAGGTGATTTTTTATTAAGGTCATTCATTAATGCCAAAAGCTTAATATTTATCATTATTATTATTATTATTATTTTCATTGATTAAGATGCACTACAAAATTATTAAGTAATTACTATGCAACTGTACTTATTTCCTATCATCCTTATCAGTAATGCATTTTACTTCATAACTAATAAATAGTTTTTTTTGTTTTGTTTTAATAATCACTTAATCACGTGGTCATTTATTTTTGTGTAATAATAATAATTTTAAAAAAAACGTTATCAGTGTAATTGATAAGAAAAAAAAAAATTTGTAAAAAGAAAAATCGCTTTTAGCTACTACTGCATGCGCTTTTTTTATAACATTAAATAATTTTTTGTAGGAAAATGTTTTTTTTTTTTTTCGTGTCAGAAGATAACTTTTTTTTAATAAGTAGTAGTAAAAAAAATTATGTATTACGTACACGATAAAAAAAATAATAATAATAATTATTATTATTCGATCCTTTTCGAAGTAGTAAATTTTTTTTTTTTATTTCTGGCTTCCAACTCTCTCTCTCTTTCTAGTCTTTTTTAGTTAGTTACACGATTATATATCTATCTGCCGCCCACGTATAAATAGCTGATGTGGGTTTGGGTGCGAAAGCGGGTGGGGGCGTGCGTGTGCATGAATAATTAAAAAATTTAAAAGACACGTGAGAAATGATTTATTTTTTCAGGTGACACGTTTTTGAAAAAAAAATTCAACTCACATAAAAACGTGAATGAAAGAAGGAGAATAATAAGAATATTAACAAAGAGAGTGCTTAATCCCCGAAAGGAAAAAAAAAATTATAAAGAGAGAGAGAGTGTGAGTGAGAGAGAGAGAAAAGAAAATAATAAAAAAGTTCTCGAGAGGTTTTCAAGACCAAACATAATAAAAAACATTTTGTCGTTGAGATTTTATAATTTTTTTTTTTTTTTAAATAAGTTGTACTGATTGTAGTTATTTTTTTTGTAAATAATTTTTACGCGCACACACCCACACACGCACAAAATCCTATTATTATTATTATTATTATTATTATTATTATTATTATTATTAATTCGAATAAATTCTGCAACGCAACAAATGATTTTACCAAATGTAAATTTATGTAAATGTAAAAAAAAAAAAAAGAAAATTTTATTATTAATATTTTGTATACGTTTATTAATATTAATATTATTATTATTATTATTATTATTATTATTATTATCATCACTGTTATTATTATTATCATTATTATTATTAATGATAAAATAATTTTTTTAAAAAACCAAAAAATTAATCAAAATAAAACGAGATGTGTTGGAATTTGAAAAAAAAAAAAATTTTATATCAGTAGTTAATAATTTATTTATTTATTAACAAAAAAAACCGGAATAAATAAATAAATAATTATTTATTTATTAATTATCGAACGAGAGCGTTTATTTATTTATTTATTATTAATTGTAATAATTATTTGATTAAATAAATAAATAAACAAAAAAATAAAATAAAATTTACCCTAAATGTGATTTTGATTTTTTAAAATTTATTAATTGCATGTGCCTTATGTACTTATGTATTATTAAAAAAGCTTAATAATTATGTAAATAAATAAATTTAAATGTGTCGTAACCTTATATTTTTTATGTAGTCGTTGTCGATTTATTTATTTTACGTTTGTAACGGTTTTTGGTATTTTTTTTTTTTTTGGTTGGTATTGCAGGAACAAATAGCGAGAGAAAAACAGGTTACGGGAAGAGTTCAAATCCAGGTATTTTATAATGACGAAAGAAAAGAATTATCGGTAGCAGTTTTAGCAGCCGATGATTTAGCATGTCACGAAGATACCGGATATGGATCATTACCGGAAGCATATGCAAAACTAAGATTATTACCCGTGACGTAAGTTATAATAGTTGGGAGTTTGTAAAGAAAAATGACGTCGGTAAATTTATAAAAAAAAATTTTTTTCTTCCAGGTCTGATAAACATTGCGTTAAAACGGATGTTGCAGAACCAACTCAAAATCCCATGTGGAATGCAACGCTGGAATTTACTAACGTGCCTGGAGAAGATTTAATGGATAGAACAATAGAAGTAACACTTTGGGATTATTGCGCTGATAGAGAATCCATTTTTTTAGGTTTGTAACCTAAAAAAAAATTTTTTTTTTTTTTTCAAAGGTTTTACAACATGTTTTTTTTTTCTGTACAGGTGAATGCACTGTTGATTTACAAAAAGCATTTTTAGACGATCGACCCGTTTGGTACAGGCTCGAAGATCCAAAACAGCTTAGATTATGTGACAAATCACCATTTGTATCCCCTAGAGGATCCCTTGCAAATGAAATAGCATTGAGAAAAATGAAAAGAAATGAATTTGCACTTTCGAGATCTTTCTCAGGTAGCATAGGAGTTCGATATAACGATGCCTCCGAGATACAAATCAACTAATAAATTGTTCTTTTTGTTTGATAGATGATCGAGACAGCGATGGAAGCATGGAATTTAATTTTCTTCATCCAGATCATGCTTGGGCATCTGGAGGTTCCAGACGTGGTTCTTCACAATCCGAAGGTCATCTTGAACCGGAAGCCGTTTATCAACTCGGACAAGATTATTCGAGATCTTTACCTGGTTCTAGAAGAAGTTCTTTTCATTCTCAAAAAGATGAAATGAAAGGTGAGCCTTTTCTTTTTTCTCTTAAAAAACAACCTAATGTTGCGAGACCCTGAACAAACCTTTTTTGTTTTTTTTTTTTAGAAGATGAACCCCCCGTGCAAATTTACGTAAATAAAGGACGTAGACGAAGTTCGGTCGTACGTCAAGATCCCGAAGAAATATTAAGAAGTTTAAAATCTTGTAAAGGTGACATGTTGGGAAGACAAATGAGTCTTTCTGGAAACGAAAAAAGAATGTCCGTTTCTCAAAGGCGTAAGTTTATTATCATTATTATTATTATTAACAACGAAATTATTTAAATTAAAAATGGCGGATTGGAAATATTAATAATTTCAGGATTCGACGGAAACGGATGAAATTAATTCATTTGATTATTTTTTTTATTATTTATTATAAACTTGTGACGTCACAAAATATTACCCCCCCCTATAAAAACTTTTTTAAAAAAATATTCTACGGAGTAATAATAATAATAAAACGATGCAAGTCGCAGCTTTCAAACGATGTTCAGTAGAAATAATTTTGGATTTATAAAAGTTCAGAAACCCCCGATAAGTTTTTGTTTTTCTTACTATTATTATTATTATTATTAATGTTATTATTATTATTATTTTAAAAAACTTGACAAAAAGTAGATTTTAGATAATTATAATCGTTGTGTGAAACAAAATGGCGTAGTTTTGAAATGATAATAATAATATTTATAGCTAAAATTTTCTCCGAGGCGAATGAATGTTTTTATGTTTAGTACGTTTTTTACATTTTTATTATTATTATTATTACTATTATTATTATTATTATTATTAATGGTTGAGAGAGTAGGAGGTGATTAAACGTTATAGATTCGATATTTCTCCCGGAAAACGTCATCAATAATTTAATAAAAGTTTTACCACCGTCACGATAATTCTTATCGTCGTTACACTAAACATATATTATCATTATTATTATTTTAAAATTTTTGCTTGTTTGCGTTTTTTCGTTTTTCTTCAATCATTTTCGAATTTATTTCCGGTACATTAACATACAACAAACAACATATTTAAACTCGATTTAAGTTTTTTTTTTTTTGTTTGTTTTTGTTTGTTTCTCTCTCGCATTTTTTCTTTTCTTTTCTTTTTTTTTTGCTAACAAATTTTTTTTTTCTGTTTTTTATTTTTTTTCCACTTCGCGTGTGTTCCTTCGTAACTTTCAACAAACATTCGATTCACATTCAGTGGATAAAAAGTACTTAAAAGTAGAGAACACAACTTAACACAAAAATAACAAATGGTAAGATATATTGTATAAATTAATTTTTTGTTTGTTATGTTTTTCTGCATTATTTTTTATGTTGTTTTTATAAAATTGACCGATTTATATAAGAAAAACCTTCAATAAAGTGGTCATTGCAGAAAAACACAAATAAAAAATGTGCAAAATGTCCACATTGGGTACCGACGATAACAAACATAAACCTAAAACAAACGAAATAAAAATGGAAAATTTTTTTGCTGTTGTTTTTTTTAAATGTTTTGTTTTTTTTTTTTTTTTTGTATTAGATGTGGTCGTCATCGTGATGGTTACAATAGTCTTGTGTGTCATCAATGGTTTCATTTGTTTCCTTAATTTTTTTTTTTTTATTTAGCTGTAGAGTCCGTACAGTCAACTCCAAACAAACACCCCGAAATCGCTTTTTGTTTGTTAATTTTTTTGTTATAGAACGAGTGAAACAAACGGGAAAAAAAACAATCAATCGATTTAAACGAATTTATTGTTATTATTTATTAACCGTTTAGGAATGTATAATCACAAGAAAAAAAAATTTTTTTTAGGGGCCAGTTGCCTACCTACGACCACTCGTAAAGAATCGGTCATACCATATCCAGAACCGACCATTTGCAGCAGCAGCAGCCCCGAAGACGACGATGACGACGATGACGACGACGAAAAAAAAACAAGGTGAGTTTTTTTTGTTGTTGTTGATATTTTATCATTCTTATCAATAAAACTCCTGTTTGTTCGTTTAGCGGTTTGATAAAATTAGGACCTGGACAAATAGGTCCAAAAGGTTATCAAAGAATGCTCACACGTGGAGAAGTTAAACTCGGCTTATTAATGACAAAAGGACAATTAGAAGTTGAAGTTACTTCTGCTCGTAATATATTAGGAAGTACAAAAGATACCCCTCCAGGTAGTATGACGTTAAAAAGAATGGAATTAATATTATTATTAGGCGATAACTTTCTCTCTCTCTCTCTCTCCAATAGATACATACATAAAAACATATTTGAAAGATAATGATAAAACATTGCAAAAGAGAAAAACAAAAGTTGTTTCGCACAACATAAATCCGATGTATCGTCAAACGTTAAAATATTCCGCCTGTGATGTTTTCGGACGGACTCTTATGGTCATGTTGTGGGAACGTCAAAAAGGTTTCGATCACAATCAGGGTTTGGGTGTTGCCGAATTAGCTTTGGACAAATTACAATTAACGCAATTAACCGTCGGATGGTATCCTTTGTTTCCAATAAAAAAAATTGATTCCGACAGTTATAATTCTCCATGACCGAATAACAACCACAACAACAACAACAGCAACAGCAGCACTTTACTGATATGTGTCGATAAGAAAATTTTCTTTATTTATCACATTTTCATTTAACTTCTCACCTCCCCCATCACCTTGTCTTTCTCTTTTTCTTTTCAAAACGAAAATACATAAATGTACATAGAAACAATCAAAAATTTAATTTCTCCTTCTTCATAATAATAATAATAATAGTAAGGAAAAGGCTGGTCCTTTGTTATTTTGAATCATTAAATAATTTATGTATACATAAATGTTTTTAAAAAAAATTAAATTTGCTTACACTCGTCATCATCATCATCATTCACACATTTATTTATTTATTTATTGTTATTATTTTTTTTTAGAAAAAATTTAAATACGTAAATAAATAAATAAATAAATAAATTTATTTATGTTGTCGCTTATTAATAATAATATATTTTAGTAGGGAGTAAGTCCGCATGTGTAAAAAAAAATTCTAACGATAAATTCGGCCTAAAAATAAATAAAAAACTTATTAATTTTTTTTTTGAACTTATTAATTAATAAATTTAATTATTTATGTATTTATTGTATTGTCGATCGACGTGATAAAAAAATTATTATAAATAGAAATGTGTGACAATCAATCATTCATGATTATTATATGGAAAATGATAAAAAAAAAAATTTTTATCAAGACAATAAGTTAGATTGTAATAATAATAATAATAATAATATTAACCTTCTTTCGAAAAAAATAAATAAATAAATATTTATGTCGAAATAATTATTATTAATAATTAATTTTTTTTCTCTTATTGTCCTGTGTCGTTATGATGTAGGAAAAATAATAATAATAATACGTGTGGTATGTATTTAATTAAAAAAAAAAATCATCATTATCCTCACATTGTTTTTCTCTCTTTTTCGGTTTTAAAATAATAATAATTATTATTATCATTATCATTATTATTATCATAATGTTATGTTTTGTTTATTTTTTTATTTTTTTTAAAAAGAGAAATATAAAAAATTTTAATTTATAATATTTATAATAAATTATTTTATTTTAATAAAAATATTTTTTTGGAAGGAGGGGGGTAAGAGGAAGAGAAGGAGGAGGAGGTTACCGGATGTCGGAGGGTGGGGGGCAAGTTGGGTTTCGTAAAGAAAAAAACAAATAAATAAATTATACCAATATATATATTTATTTAATAAAACCTAAAAACAAAAATAAATAAAAATAAAATAAATTTTTTAAAAACAAAAAAAATAAAATAAATAAATAAATAAAAGATGGCACTGCGATTAACAATAAATAAATAATTATTTATCATCATTATTTTTTTTAGCGTTATTTTTTTTTTTAAATGCGGATTTTAATAATAATCTAATCGTTTTATCAATTTTTTAATTATTATTATTATTATTATTATTATTATCACAAAATACGAAACAGAAAAAATTTTTTTCTCATTCCCACATTTTAAAAAAATGACTAGCTATCGTTTTTTATTTATTATCATTATCATTATTATCATTATCGTTATCGTTATTCATCCCGTAAAAAATTTTTATTTTTTTTAATAAATAAATCATTAATAATAATAATAATAATAATACCTATGACGTCACCCCTTCGATTTTTTTTCTTTTTTAATCACCATTTTAAATTAATTATTAATTTATTTATTTATTAAATAAAAAAAAATATTAATAATATTAATAATAGTATAAAAAAACACAACAACAAATAATTTTTCTAAATAATAATAATAATATCCGTTATCAATAATAATAATAATAATATTAAAATAATTAATATAAATGCCTTTTTTTGACTAGAAATTTTGGTAGCCGTTAATAATTTGGTAATTTTTAATAATAATAATAATAATAATAATAATGTTAGTGTAAAATTTAAAAAAAAAAAAAAAAACTTGTGACGTGTGTTAGCGAATCGATATATCGACGAGATTCGATACGATTAATAAAAAATAAATTTCCCTTTCGATATCGTTAAATAAATAAAATAAATTTTCCTTTTTCCCGATATAATAAAGTAGTCAGTAAAATTAAAATTTTTTTTTTTTCTTTTTTGCATCAAATAAATTCATTCGAAAAAAAAAAAAATTTGTTTGTGTTTGTTTCTCTCTCTCTCTCTCTCTCTTTGTGTTTGTGTTTGTTTTCTTTTTTCTTTGCTAATCACCGAGATAACAAAAAAATAACAAATAAAGCTTGAAATGTTTATATATATATCTATAAACGCTTGCGTGATTTTCACGCGTTTTACTCCTTATAATTTCAAATAATAATAATAATAATAATAATGATAATAATAATAATACTGCGATTATCCATGTATTATATTACATTGTATTATTGCACTTAATTTAAGTCACGAACGAAAGAAAAAAAAAAAAAAAGCTTCTGCGAATATATTTTTACTTTTATGTACATAAGTATGTATATATATGTATATACTTTTCTTTTTAACTAATTTTCGGTTAGTTACTAAAAATAAAAAATAAAATCATTACTTTCCCCTCCCCCTCCCCCCAAGTTCACCAGAAATGTTTTGTAAAAAAAAACGATGATGATGATGGTGATGATAAATAACGAAGAGAAGCCCTGCATTACTCATTCGTTTAAATCTCATCATTTTACCGGACAGAAACAAAAATTCATCCCTTGGGATTCCTGCTAAAAAAAAAAAAAATAATGCGAGAGAGAGAGAGAGAGAGAGAGAGAGAGACGGAATCTATCGTTTTTCTGCGTAAACATTTACACAACCGGAAATAAAAAAAAAAAAAAAAGTTGTAAAACTCTGACTGTCCTAAAAGTAAACCATTGGTGAACCTTAAAAATTCCTGAACGTGCATTCATACCGGTAATAAAATACGTTAATTGGTATAATAATAATAATAATAATGTTTCCTATCAAAATATGTATACCTTTGTGTGTGTGTGTATAAGTGTGATTGCGTAAGCGTAGGTGAGACGCTTGCGTACCAGTGTGTGTATGTGTGCGCGTGTTTAAATAAAATAAAAATTAAAAAAATAATAATAATAATAAAAATCAAGCATTTGACTTATTCGTAGAACTTTTGTTATCGACGAGAAAATTTTTTTTTTTTTCGAAAGGTTCGACGCGTCTTTAATTCTCCTAAAAACAAATTCGAATCGTTTAAGGTTGTTTCCGGTTGTTTTTCCATTTGTTCGAGTAACGGTTAATCCAATGTGCACGAGGAGAAAAGTGAAAAAGCGTTTTTATCATCCTCTCTAAATATTGAATCCGACAAAAAAAAAATCCGAATTCCCGGGGGGGGGGGCGCGGAATGTTTTGTCATTCTTTTTTATTTTTTTGTGCTCCCTCTTTTAAATTTATTTCGGAACCAAACCTCTGGCTTTTGGAAAAACTGGAGCTGCACTTGATAAACCTTGCCTTTTGGATTTCGACGGAGCTGCAGAAGCGTGCCTGAAAAAAAAATCGATTTTTTTTTTTTTTGTAAGAGACTCTAGTGGGATGATATTTGTTTTACCCTTTTTAAAGGTCACCTACCTGGGTCTTGCCGAATATCTTCCGGGGTAACTTTTCACTCTCGATGCATCGATGTCTATGTTATCTTCGACTTGCAAAGCTCTGTCCAACATGGCTAAAATTTTAGGTTCGACCACGGGTTCTTCGTAATCCATTGTTGTCCTTTCAGGCATGTACAAATCTAAATCTAAAACGTTTTCGCTTCTGTACCTTTTAATTTTAAAAAAAAACATTTACGTCAATTTCACGTGGGGGGAAAAGTTAGAAGAAAAAATAATAATAATAATGATTTGTACCTTGGAGTGCTGCTTAACTGATGTGCGACTCTTGCATATTCTGACGTCGGCCTTCTTTCCCCGACAACAGCGAGCGGCCTTTTCGACAATACCTGATTCGATTCGATTCTTCCGGGTTTCCAAACATCTTCGTTTTCGTCGTATTTCATACTTGCTAAAACTTTATTAAATTGTTCGATAGGCATAAAATTATCGATAATCAACCTTTTTAGCTTAAGATCTTTTATTAAGGCACTCTGAGTGTCTTCTAAATCTCTCCTCTCCTTGTTAAATACTTCCGTGTTGTCGATTATGTCCTGTTTTAAATATTGCAACTTTGAAAATAACCTTTTCAATTTTTTCGTTTTCAAATCCACTTCCTGTTGTAAATTCTGATAGTTTCCCATGACTATTTCAAACGATTCGTCTTCCTGTTCCAACTTGCGTCTCATTTCCATTTCTTTCCTTTTTTTCTCAGCAATTTCCGCAAGGCTTTTTTCAAGGGCTCTTTGTTGTTCGTTCGTATGATCGACTATGTTTTTCCCACCGAGAACCATTTTATTTTCGAGGGATTGAATTTTCTCCATGAGTTCATGGGCTTCTTCGTTTTGTTTCAACAATTCTTCGTCGTTCATCAATGTGTCTTCGTTAACATCATCTGAAACGTCTTCCTTATTCGTCTCGTAATCATCATCGCTTTTTTCACTCATGATTTCTTGAACTTTAGGTTTCTTTTTAGAACTCTTTTTCTTCTTTCTTATTTCTTGCTCTTGATTTTTTTTGGCTAATGCTTCTTGCAACTGAGCTATTTCATCTTTGAGTTTTCTCATTAACGTGTCTTTCGGATCTTCATTAACTCTAGGCTTATTTTGTATACTTTTAGCGCGGTGAGCGTACCTTAGAGTAGTTAATGTTTCTTCTAAATTGTAACTGGCAGGACCTATGTTTGCTATCATTAAAGTTCTGGAATTTCCACCTAACGAATCTTGTAGCAATCTAGTTAATTTTGAATCCCTGTATGGGATGTGAGAGCCGGAACCGTTTACCAGTGCAGAAATTACATTTCCTAACGCCGACAGGGAAAGGTTAATTTTACTTGCTTCTTTTAACCTTTCACCTGTTGAACCGGTTTTGTTTTGCCTTTCACTTCCAGCTAAATCGACTAAATTTAACATACCTAATTTGATATTACTGTATTTTTCTTCTGTGTTTATTTCGCTCATTTCTATCCTAATTTGAAATATTGCATGCGATCTCGAACTGTGTTCATTCATGTCAGTTGCTCCGATGGTTCGATTCAAATTACCCATGTACATAACTTTTTCAATTTGAGAAACATCTTTACAATTAATGAGCATCAAATCTTCAACATATATTTCACCATCAGGTGTTTCTCTAATTTCATGCCTTTTCGGATGTTTTGGGTCTTCTAATAAATCCCTTATTTTTTCTTGGTAAATTTCCATGTAAGACACTCTAACAAGATACTGCATATTTTCTGTGTTTTCTATGTGCATAAATATTTGTTCGAATGATCTCGGTATGATTCCTTTTGAAACAGGATTTTTTTTAACACCTTCCATTGTAAATGTTTTTCCAGTACCTGTTTGACCATATGCAAATATTGTCGCATTAAATCCCTGCAAAACTGACACAACCAAAGGTCTAACTGCCTCATCATATAAATCTTGTTGTTTGGCTTTGTGATCGTAAACGGCATCGAAAGTGAAAATTTTCCTTTGATCTACTTGATTATTCATGACATTTTCATTACAGCACAAAACTTCAATTTCACCTGAATGTGGAAACACTTGAACAACCTGCGTACAACCTGAATCTTTTTCTTTTGTATTCATAGGCCGGCACCTGACAACCACCTGAACGGCTTCATCCCGATTTACAAGGGATGCTGATTTGTTTCCACTTCGCTTTTTTGACGAACTCATTTTTTAAAAACAATTATTATTCTGATAGCGATAAGTTAGAAGTTATAGCCAGATGCTACAGTAATTGCCTGGTTGTTGTTATGTATATAAATATATTTTTTTATTTTACATTTCTTTTTAATGTATCACATTAATATTTTAAAAAAAAAAAACAAAACAAGTATCTCAAAATAACATTTACTTACAAAATAAAAAAATTATTAAAAATTACATACATTAAATAAATAAATAAATAAAAAATTAATTCAAACTTAAAAAATAAATAAATGTAAAAGACTATTTCAAATTGCAGAAGACTATTGATTTATGTTAAATTAAAATTAATGTTTACCTTATGACAAATTGAAAAAGGGGGCCCTGAAAATTAATTTAAATTTTCGGTTTTTTTTCATATATTCGCGCAACAAAGATTTAAAAGCTCGAAGTTTAATAAAATAAAAAAGGCGGGAGGTTAATTTACAGATGTAACCTTTTTTTCCCGGTCTTTTGAAATTCGTATGATTTCGCAATTTGTTTACTTGTCTATTTCGAGTTCCTGCAGTTAACATTTATCATTTACAGTACAAAATGGTTATATCACATTTTATTTTTTTATAATTTATTTTATTTTTTATAAAGTTATTTTATTTTTAATTATTTTACAAAATGGAAGCTCCTAGAATAAATCCATGTCTTTCTTTGCCTATAGATAAAAAAATTTTTTCCGATTTGGTTGATAAAACCAAAGATTGGGCTCTTATGCACGGTAAGATATCACATTAATGATATTTTTAATTTTTTTTTTTATTTTTACCAAAAATTTAACGATTTTTTAAAATCAGTTTTTACAATTTTTTGCTTTGTCACATTTTTAAATGGGATCATCATAAAAAAGTTTTTTTTTTTTATTAAATCGGTGGCAATAAATCATTGAAAAAAATTTTTTTTTTATTTTAGGAGCTGGAATGAGATCTAAAACAAATTTTAATTTAGATTCATTAAATTTTGCACCTTTTGTACTTTTTCCTTCATCTTTTCCAAGAAGTGAATTCGAAAAAGCAATTAATATACAAATAGTTTTAAACGAACTCATACACAAAGTTGCACATGATCACATGTTTCTCACTGATACATTATCAAGGTAACTTACATTATTTACCTGTTTCAACATTTACTTTTGTGACAAAAAAAAAAAAAAAAAAAAAATTTCCATTTGGTTATTTTTTATTTATTATTTTTAATCAAATATTTTTCAATTGTAAAAAAAAAATTATAATGAAAATATATAAATTTTTTTTTCAGTACAATTAAAGTAGATGAATTCACGAAAAAACTTTTCGAAATATATGAATGTGTATACAATGAAGGATTTGAACAGGTAAGAAATTGTTTTAATCAGTTCACACATAAATTTACAAACATAATTAGTGCATGTTAGAAATAATTAATAAAATATATTATTTTAATTGATGTAATTGATTTGTATGTTGCAAAAATAGAAAAATAGAAAAAAAAAGCAAAATGCTTTCGATATCGAATAGACTAACAGTTATCATTATCAATTTTATTATTCTTCACATTTTTTTTTTCTCTATCGTAATAGTTTCAATTACGAGTAATTTGATAAGAATGTTTTTAATTAAATATATATCAAATTAAACATATTGTTTGAATATCAAAACAATGTAGGATTTAATAAAATATTGTTTTTAAATTACTTGATAATGAAATTGATAATAATTATGGTTAGAAATAAAATTTGAGTTTGTCGCTTTCAATTCTTATCAAATTTTGTTATTCATTCTTTTTTATCTCTTTTTTTTTTTTTAAATGCTTTTTCTGCTATTTTTCTTTGCAAATTTATCACTTTATTAACAATTTATTTCTTATCGAATCAATAAGTAATAATAATTGTAGTTTATTTTTTTTTTTTTTTTGCACACAAAAATCCTTTTCAAGAGTAGTTAAATGTAGAATTTTTTTTTTTTTTTTGGGCTTAGCTAACGCAAAATTCTATTTAATATTAATAAATTTGATAAATTTAAAAAATAAAAATAATTATTTTTCATCATCATTAATAATAGTAATGATTCTCATGATGGTGATCATCATCATCATCATAATCGTAACAAACTTTTTTTTTATTAATTATTTATTACAAACGCTTAAAACTACATTTTCCCATAAGCTTAAAACTTTTTCTAAAAGCTTTTCTAATTAGACAAAAAGAAAAAGGAAAGAGACAAAAAAAAAAGATTTTTTTGTTTATGATGAAAACATTTTTTGTCGGTTGATGTAAATGTTTGCACAAACAGCCTCTTTCACTGGGCCTGGTTCGCTCAGACGTCATGCTTCAAACCGATCAATGGATGGAAACAAGAAAAAGAGGTCCATCCGATACAGACCTCCTAGGAAATGTAAAACCCCGGTGTTTTTCTTGCGTCAAACAAGTGGAAATAAATACTATCGCCTCAGGATTCGGTCACCTGGGCCCCATTTCCGGTGCCATACATAGGTGAGGTTGCCTTTTAATGGGTGTCGCACAATATATATATATGACTAATAAAACATATTTCTTGTACATCTGTTAAAGCTCTGTCGCTTGGTGCTTGCATTTCCATCTATGCACATATATATATGTTTTTTGGGTGTGTGCTTTTCGGTGTCGTGAAAAAAAAAAAAAGGGGTGACGTCTTTGCACCCCCCCCTCCCCTCCCCCTCACGCCACGGTTATTTTACATTTTGTGTATAAACATGTATTAACACGCTCTCCCCTCAAATATTTTTTTTTTTTTTTTTCAAAAATTATTTTGCATACAGCCTTTTTTCTCTCCCGTCTGACTCTCCCTCCCCTCCCCCACCCCCCCTCCCCCTCTCTTTTAGCCACCTATATTTCCCTTCCCGTCCGATTGAAGAGTGATCGAAAACCCGGCGAGACTGATGAAAAATGTCTTTTTTTTTTTTTTTTGTTTGCTCTTGTTACAGGACATTAACCTAGGACTTTTCCGCGTTGATTATCTTCTAGACCACTGTGAACAAACCAGCATAAAACAGGTTGAGATGAATACGGTTTCAGTCAGTTTCGCTGGTGCTTGCACTCAATTGACGGGTTTACATAGGTAGGCCTGAGTATTGACATATATATATTGTTATTAAATGACAACAATTTATTTATTTTTTATTATTATTATTTTATTATTATTATTTTATTATTATTATTTTTTTTATTATTATTATTATTATTTTTCTCCCCATCTTTCGTTTACTGGAAGGTGGGAGAAGGAGAAAGGGAACAAACGCGTCGCGTTTAAGAAGGTTTTTTTATATATATATATTATGTATGCGAAAGGTTGATGGCCACCGCCATCATCACCGTCATCATCATCATCGTACAAAACGCGAAAGAATTCAAACCTTGGCGAAGAACCTTTGGGGGGGGAGAGATCCGAGTGAAGGGGGAGGGGAGGGCTTTAAATACTTAAAACGTCACAACTTTTTAATGGACGTTAAAAAATAAAATTACCTTTTTCCGCACGTCATTTTCCAACTTTGTACAAAATCCAATTAACTTCACCAAAAGAGAGAGTGAGAGAGAGAGAAAAATTTTAACCAAGCATGCAAGTGAAAATGTTTTTTTTCTCTCTCTCTCTCTCTCTCTCTTATTACACGCGAGTTCAGAAAAAAAAAATTTTCCTATCGATCGATTCAATTATTATCGATTACGAGGTGCGGTGGAATCGCCATTCATCTTGATTTTTGTCTGTCTGTCTGCCTGTCCTGAGAAACTTGGTTTTTTTTTCTTTCGAGTATGTCAGGTAGTATGTCAGGTACGCGTTTGAACGGATCGTCATGGATGGACGTCTTACGTCCACAGATTTAAAAAAAAATTGATTACAATTGTAAAATATGTAGGATAATAATAATAATAATCGTATTGGTAAGGTGTTGGGAGATGATAAAGGAAATGCAATCATCATCAATAAGTTTAATGATAATAATAAAGAGAGAGAAAGAGAGTGAGAGTGAGTGAGTGGGAGGAGGGAGAAAGAGATAGTTCGGAATTATCCTACAGCAGGAGCAGGAATAATGATAATAATAATAATTGGTAACTGCGAATATGTTGCGAAAATGAAATTTTTATTTAATTTTTTTATTTTTGTTTTTATTTGTTTTATTTATTTAATTTTTTTTTTTTTTTTGTAAAATCGAAAATCAATAAATCGATAAATCGATGAATTATAAATATATATTGATATTTTCCAGATTTGTACTCCAAGAATTGAATAGAAAAGATTTGTTGAAAAATGTGAGTTCACGCATACATACATATATATTATTATTATTATTTTTTTTTATTTTTCGGAAGAGAAAAAGTAATAAAAGCGATGATGATGATGATGATGATGATGGGGTGATTTTTTTTTTTTTTAGTTGCCGAGTAACGATGCCCTCAGTGGGATTTGTTTGGGAATGTTAGACGCGTGGAAAATATACAACAATCCGTTCGCCGTTATTTTGTTCATAGTCGAAGATCGAACGTACAACATATGCGATCAAAGGTTTCACGAATTCGAAATCCGGAGATTGAATCCGAACGTGACCGTCATAAGGAAATCCCTGACGCAAGTCTACAGTCAGGGAAGTTTAACGTCTAAGAAACAATTGATGGTGTAAGTATTCGAACCGTTGGTGGTACCACCTCCTCTCTCTCCCTCTCTCGAAAAGAAAATTTTAATCTTTCTTCGAATGGAATTTCAGGGACGGTTACGAAGTTGCTCTCGTTTATTTTCGATCCGGTTACGAACCGAATCAATACCACGGAAAAGAAGAATGGGATGCGAGGTTGATGATGGAAAGATCGGTCGCGATAAAGTGTCCTTCGATACACTACCACCTGGCGGGAACGAAAAAGGTTACCACGATTAAAATTAAACGGGTAGAAGATACGTTAAGAAACAAATAAATGACGTGTGTGTGTGTTAACAGGTCCAACAAGCTTTGGCTCAACCGAAAGTTCTCGAAAAGTTCATAAAAGATTCTAAAACGGTGGAAATGATTCGCGACACTTTCACGGGTTTGTACTCGTTGGATTTTACGAAAGAGGGAGAAGAAGCCGTGGAAATGGCCATAAACGACCCGGAAAAATTCGTATTGAAACCGCAGAGAGAAGGAGGAGGGAATAACATTTACGGGAAAGAAGTCAAAGATAAAATATTGAGTAAGATGAGAGGGGAGGGGTAAGGGAGGGATAAGTGTATGGTGTCCCGGCATCCTTCGAATCCTTTTTTTTTTTTTTCAGGCATGAAAAATTCCGAAGAACGAATGGGTTGGATATTAATGGATAGAATATTTCCTCCGGTACAAGCCACGTACATAATCAGACCGGGTACCCCAGTCAAACACGATGAAACCCAAGACATAGTATCGGAATTGGGAATATTCGGTTGCATAATAGGGTGAGTTGCGATGGGGATGGCTGGGGGGAGGAGGAGGAGACCTTGTTCATTACAAATTTTTGTTTTTTTTTTTTTTTTTTATTATTATTATCAGGGACAAGGATAAAATATACGTGAATCGACAGGTCGGTCACATGTTTCGAACAAAGCCATGCACAGCAAACGAGGGCGGAGTGGCCGGGGGAGTTGGTTGTTTGGATAGTCCGTTTTTAATAGACGACTGAACTTTTTTTTTTTTTAATCCTTTTTTTTGTTTTCTATGTCTTTTTTTGTAAATTTTTTTTTTGTATGTTTTTTAAAACGTTTTTTTTTATTCGTCATTCCTAGTAATCAGTAGCATAAATAATAATAATAATATATTTTTAAATAATCGACAGTTTAAATAATAATACGTTGGCAAGGGTAAATGATAATAAAGTTTTTTTTTTTTTTTTATATATAATTTTTATTTTACACACGAACGAATAATTTAAGAGAGAAAAAAGGAAAAAGAAAATAAGAAAAATGTGTGTTTTTTTTTTTTTTTACTTGTTGATGGATTTTAATTTTAATTTTATTGTTAATTTAAATTTTTTGTAATAAATTTATATATATTTTTAATAATTGTTTAACCGTTTCATAACTTATCGTAGTATCATTTAAAACATTCATTTTATCAAGAGCTGATAAGAATTCAATTGATTTTTTCTTAATAATTAATTCTTTAATTTTTTTCACGGAGGTAAATTCAGCAGGATTTAATTCATTTGAATAAATTTTTGATTTTATGAGGGAAACGTCGACGTCGCGAGTTACAATAAGATAAAGTAAAGAATTAAAATTCCAAGAAAATCCATCGAGATTTATTAACAAATTTTTATTTAAATGATTTTTTTGCAACAGGTTCCATTTTAATTTTGATAAATTACCTGTGCGGGGGAAAAAAAAGTAACGTTAGAATTTATTTAAGGAGGAAAAAGAAAAATTTTGTTTACATACCAAATTCAGAATTGATTTCTCGAGCACTTGTAATCACATCATCGAAACTGAATTCGATGAAATCATAATGATTACAAGGGATTATAAAACCATATTCGATTAATAATTTTAAATTTGAATGTGGTCCATATTTAATGAAAATCTGTTGATGTTTTCTAAATGAATTTAATGTTTTTAATATGTATAATTCATTGTCGAAATCAATGTACATTTTAGTATTGGCATCACTCGAGTGATTAAACATGTCTAAGAATGGAGCTAATGCTAATGATTTTTTTCTCATTGATTTATCCTAAAACGATAAAGTTTAATAGCCTTTTTTTTTTTTTTTAATGAATTACATCAAGCAGATTTAAATAATTTAACTTACTTCATAATAAACAGATCTTGTGTTAACTGTAAACCAAGCCCAAATAAATTCATATCGATTGTATAATTTTTTAATGGATTTATCGCAGTGAGAACAAATTTCATCATTTAAATTATTTTGAAGTTTTTCAAATAAAAATTCAAGATCAGTTTTTTGTGTAACAACTAGTTTTTTTATCAAGTCCGGTAACAATTGAATTTCAGAGTCTGTACAAAAATAAACATTGCTATATGATTGCGGTAACGTTTGTATGTAATTAAAATATTTTGAATCATTTTTCAAATGATTTTCATACATTAAAAAAATACTCAAACGCAATTGAGGATCAACGATATTTTCATCATTTAAAAATTTATACGCATCACTTTGTGAAGTCGGAGTGATTAATAAATTAAGGGGTAGGGCGATGAGTAAATCTCCTTTTTCTAATTTTTTTCTACATTTCACTCCTCGTCCTGTATCATTAAAAAAACCTATTTTTAAATGTTTACATTTAAGTTTTATTGACTTTTGTAAATTGATAATATCCGAACAGTCATGCGAACTTTGAACTTTTAAAAGTTTATTTCTTCTCATACGTTTAGTCCTACCCATTTTCATGAAAAAAAACAAAATTATTATTTTTCTTTTTTAACATTAAGTTAAATTTATAATATAATTAAAAATATTAATTAAATATTATTTGTAAAAATTTTTAATAATGTATTAATTAATAAAGTTGAAAGGTTGGCAGAACTTAAAGAGACCGGTGCCGACATCTTGAAGTCAAATAATATATTTGTTTATTGAATTTATATCAATATTGAATTAATTTTTTTTTTTTTTTTCTCTTTTTCGTTTTACACCTGTTCAATGTGTGAAACAATTATTTCTACCAAGTTTTATAACATCCTTTTTAAAAATAAATTAAAATATATCGAAAAGACCTTATTTTTATGTATGAAACATATAAATCGGTATTATTTGTTTGAAAACAAAATGAGGGCGTTTTTTTTTTTAAATATTCTCACGGGGAAAATTAAATTTATAGTTTAGAAAAATAAAAAGTGTAATTGTACAAATTATAATAAATAAGGAAATAAAAAGGATTTCGAGATTATTTAAATATGGATCTGACGGAATCTATGAAGAATCTTGTAGGAAAAGGTTTACTTGGAGATATGGGGCCACCGTCTAGTGGTAGCGGTTTTGCCGGAAGCGGTTATGTCACCGAAAAACTTTACATGCTTTTGCAATTATATTTGCAAAATAAAGGATGGAATCCTTCTGTTGAATTATTGCAATGTTTTTCTGAATTGAAAGAAGCATCCATGCTACCGAGTGCAGCATATCTTCAGTAAGCTTACCTTCCTTGCATTAAATTTGAGCTTTTTTTGGAAACTTTAATTCCTTTCGTGCAAACTGTAGAGCTTTTGTAAGTGTTTTTACATTCACTCTTTTTCTTCCTATAGAATGATGGCACAAAGAATAACTCTAGATTCACAAGGTAGACTTGTTTTAAGAGAAAATGGTAAAATAATTCTTCCATTTGAACACTTTGGTAATGCTGTTATGCTTAAACATATGAATGGACCTCAAGGAATGCATTTAGGATTAGAGGCGACCATTCGAGCAGTAAGTCACATTCTAACCTTTTCAAACTTTTATTTGTTTTTTTTCCTAATCACTCGAGTAAATTTTCAAGAATATTATTTAATAATAAATAAAATAATTTCAGGTTATGGATTCTTACACAATAGGAAGAGAACAATTTGGAATGGAAAAAGAATTTATTATAGATATAGTACAGAATTGTCCCAATGGGGCTTGTAGATATTATAAAAGTCAACTAGAATTGAGTCATAGATCTTTAGCTCATTTATCTGGTGCTCCAACATACATTGATCCCCAGCCTTCCAAAAAAGGAAAAGGTAATTTTCATTCAATATTTGTTATTATTATTAATATAATTCGATTTTAAAAAAAACTCATGTTTTACGAGAGCAACATCAATCATTATTTTTTGTTAGGTTCTTCCAGTAGAGACAATGATCAAAGAAATAATCAATTTGGAAATGAAGATTTCACTTTGCCACACCATCATCAAACTCCAGTAGATTTAACTCCGACAGAAAAAATATCAAAGAGTAATTCCAGTTCTTCCCAGTCCAGGTTATTTCAAAATTTTCAAGTGTGAATAGTTTTTTTTTATTTTATTTTTTTACAAACATTTTTTTTTTTTTTTTGCTTTTGTTGTTGTTGTTAAATTTACGTACCCAACAGTCGTTATTATTATTATTGTGTTCTGTTTTTCTTTTTTTTTCGGTGGAAAGGGCTCAACTGTTATCGGCGGTTCAACAAATGGTTGGAAACGAGGGTAAAGGTTCATCTTTATCATCATCGAAAACTTCAAAATCTCATCACGTGGATTTAAGTCCTCAGGATCATAAAATTGCTGATTTTTTAAGAGCGAATTTAGAAAGTTTAGAAGGTCTCGGATTAACTAGTTCTAATAAAGTAATTTAATCCAAACGATTTAACTTTAAGTATTAAAAAAAAAAAAAAAAAAAAAAAAAAAAACAAAGATATTTTTATCAGTTTGGTAATGTTTATTATTATTATTATTTTTGTTAGGATTTACTCGCTCTTCATAATGGTGCTTGGGGTAGTCACGAAAGTGAAAGTAAAAGACTGTCTGGAAATGCCGGCGAAGGTGAGATAGAAAGAGAAAGAAAGAAAAAAATAAACGTGGAGTTAGAATAGAAAAATGTTTTTTTTTTGATTTTTTTTTTTTTAACTTTTGAACTTTAATAAATTTTTTTAATTTTATCATTATTACTATTTAAAGTCGGTCAAGAAAAAATAGTGAGGGCGTTCACCGAAATAATGAAAAATATGGCGAGAATGAAAACTTGCATAAGGCCCGCGATGTGTAAACCTTATGGTAAACAATCGGAATCTTTACAAAAAAGTGAGTCCGGGAAAAAGACGTTAAACGTTCATTTATTATTATTATTATTATTATTATTAATTAATCGTCTCTTTTACAGCTTTGATGGATACGGTACAATTGGTACAATCTTTGCGTCAAGTTTTACCACCGCCACACATCGCTGTAAGTTCTTGGAAAAATGAAGACAAGCATAGGTAGGTATTTAAACAACAAAAATTTTCCTCCTTTTTGTTTTTCGAAAAAATAATTCGTTTGTTTTTGTTTACAGTTTGAGAGCGGATTTTCACGAGATTTAATTCGATTTTCCGATTTTGGAAAAATTTCGACGGCATCCGATTTTTCTTCGTCCCACCGATGATTGATTTTATGGATTTTTCATCTCTCTTTCGCTCTCCGTCGTCCGTCGAATATATATTAGAGAGAGAGAGAGAGAGAGAGGGGGGTGGAGGTGTTTTACACGAATGCAAAAATAATGAAAAATTTTTTTCCCTCCTCTCCCCCCGTCTCCCCCTTCCCCCAAAAAAAAAGAAACAAGAGTGCAATGAATGTTGTTGTTGTCTGTGTAAATGTTCGAGTCATGTATAAAATTATTTTTTTTTTTATTTTTGCACGTTGTTTTGTCGCATTTTTTTTTTTTTTTTTTTTTTTACATGTAAAAGTGAAAGAGTTGACAAAGTTAACAAACAAACAAACAAGTAAAAGAAAAATTAATGAAATTGTAAACGAATAGAATTTTTTTTTTTTTTTTGAAATAAAAATAAATAATAATAATGAAATTTATATTGTTTATATAATGTTTTTTTTTTCCTTTAAGAGAGAGAAAATACCTTTTTTTAATGTCGTCGAACCCGAAAAGGATTAATAGGGTGAAAGGTCGTTAAAGAATGAAATTCATTAATAATTTACATATGTATGAGTAGTAGTAGTTTCAAGGTATTTTAAGGTTTAAGGTTTTTTAATGAAATAATGCATAATCAAGAATTTCATCATTAAAATAAAGTTTTTTAAAGAAAAAAAAATCGTACAAACAAAAGTGTGCGTGCGTGTGTGGGTGTGTGTGTGTGTGTGAGGTGTACATGTGTGTGAAACGTTGGAAATAATAATAATAATAATAAATTTTTACACATTTACTGCAATAATAATAATAATAATAATGAAAAAGGCGAAAAAAATTTTTTTAAAGAAAAAATCAAATTTTAATCCGCCCTTTTTTTTCACCCGATTCCATCTCGGTAATTTATTATTATTATTACAAATTTCAATACTGATATCACTTCCTTTCTTATCAGTCGTGGAATGTTATCGTATTCGTTTTTTTTTTGTATAAAAAAATAATTTTTTTTTTGGTTTGATCCGCATACGATGGACGGATTCCGAAGAAAATAATTTTTTTTTTTTTTTAAATAAAATTTTTTAATAATATCGTCTTTCCTTATTTTTACCACCCGATCGATCATTGACCTTATTCTCCTTCCCCCTCCCCACCACAGCTCCTGAAAATAATATTTAAAAAAAAAAATCCCGAAAATCCCCCAACTTACCACAATTTTTCCTTTTCCCCACCGTAAATTAATTAATTAATTACCCATTTTTCATCCGTTTTTTTTTTTATCATTATCATTATCATTATTATCATTATCGTTTTTTTTTCCTCATGACGAAAACAACGTCGTCGAGCCAATAGTATGATTGCCTTAAATCTCCTTCGCATAAATACGGTAATTTTGTCCATTTAATTATTTCGTATCCGACGGGTTCCAAAACGTTTTTCACCATCGAACAAACTTGATGTTCGAAAGTGTTTCCGTTAACGTCCAGTACCTGAGAAGGCGAATGATTTTTCGCACCTGGCACAATCAATCAATCAATCAATCAATCGAATAATCGTAACGAAACAATAACAACAAATCTCAAACTTTCATTCCTTTCTCTCTCTCTCTCTCTCTCACTCTCTTTTCATCTTTCTGCTCCTCTCCCCCTTCATCTCTCTCTCTTTCTCTCTTTCTCACTTACCTATTTCGACGTAAGGTTCGAATGGTAAAACCATAGCGAGTACGACGATTCCATCGGGTGCGAGTGAATTTTTCATTTGTTCGAGTATATCGTTCGGTCTGTCGCACCGATCCAATAAATTTAAACAAGTTATGACGTCATATTTTTCGTTTTCCAAATGCCAAACTTCCGGTTCGAGTATTCTAGAAAATTCCAAAAAAAAAAAAAAATTAAAATTTTACAATGGGAAATCTCTCTCTCTCTTTCTCGTGACAATCTCATGGAAAAAAATTTTTTTTTTCCAGCTCCAGGTTTGAGTCTCGAATCGGAAAAGATAATCACGAGAATTTCTTTTTTAAGAAAAAGTTTTCCGATTTTATAAGATTATATTAAAAGATTTTCTCGATCGTAAAAAATAAATGAAAACTTTTCTTGAAAGAAACTTTCCAGATGAGAACCAAAAGAAGAAGAAGAAAATTTTCTTCTGCTAACTTAAAGTAATTATAAAACGAAATTGGTTACATTTATTTAAAAAATTTGCATTTGAAATCCATTAATTTTTATTCTCTTGACGGTCATAACTCGTAAACTTTTCCAGAAATGATTTTTCAATCAATTAAAAACGTTTTTATCATCATCATCATCATCCTCGTCGCAGACTTTTCCGAATAAGGACCGAAATTCATTTTTTAAAAACCGAGAATCTGAGGGGAGGGAAGGAGGGAGCCTCTGAGTCTTGGGAAATCAATCAACCGATATTTTTCCAAAAAATTCTTACGAAAAGACTTTTCGGTTTCTTTCTTATTATTATTATTATTATTATTATTATTATTATTATTATTATTATTACTACCTGAAACCTTTTTTCCGGAGAACCCATTTCATGACGGGTGATATTTCCGTGACATAAATTTCGTCAAAAAGTGGCGAAATGACGGACGTGACGACTCCATCTCCAGCACCGAGATCTAAAAGTTTAAGTTTTGATTTTTTTCTTTTTTTTTTCGTCATCGTACCATTCTCATTTTCTTCTTCTTCTTCTTCTTCCTCTTGTTCTTGTCGTCCGTTTTCTTCGTTCCAAGAAATTAATTTTCGAAATTGTTCTTGTGAAAAAACAAACATGGAACCTCTCCGAAGGAGTCTGAAAAAAAAAAAATTAAAAATTATCCACACTTTTCCTTTTCTCCATTATTATTATTTTATAAATTGGTTACGAGCTGGAGAAACGCAAGAAAAAAAAAACTAAAAAACTAAGACAAACAGGAGAGGAAGAGTAGGAGTAGGAGGAGGAAGAAGAAAAAGACAAAAAAAAAATGAAAACAAATATGGCCGTCGTTATTGATTAATATCGAGAGGATAAGTAAAAAAAAAAAAAAAGTGTCATATAATATTTTCACGTTTTTTTCTTTTCTTTTCTTTTCTTTTTTTAAAGATGAAGGAAATCAATAAGAGAGAAAGAGAGAGAGAGAGAGAGAATGAGAAAAAAAAAATTTGAGATGACATAAATGTTGCATGAGGAACAAACACGTAGTTAGGAGAGGGCACGGGCGGAGAGAAGAGAGGAGGTAGTCGCTGTTTTCCTCGTTCCCTCCTTTTACTCACTCTTGTTCCTTCAGGAACAAACAAGACAAACGAGAGCACACATGCACACGCACGTACAAACACGCACACACACACGCATTTCTCTTTCTCTCTCACCTTTGTGCGAGTCTTTCTTTTGCATTTTTCTTCCCCCTCCCCTTCCCTTTCCTCTTTCTCCCTCATTTCTTTTCCTTTTTTTTCAACGTCTCAAAAAGTGAGAGAGAGAGAGAGAGAGAAAGAAAGCTTTTTATCAAGTCCAATTTACGCTTGAGATCAATTTACAATATCAATAATATCTTCTGTCTCTTCTCTCCTTCATCTCTTTTCCTTCTTCTTCCCAATTCTTTTACATCTTCTTTAAAAACTTTTATTACATTTTTTTCTTTTTCTAAAATTTTAATTGCAAATTTTTTTTTTTTTTAATAAAATTTAAAATTAACTTTTTCATTCAAAAAAAAAGGAAAAAAGAAAAAGGATTAAAAAAAGGTTTTTTTGCGAAAGGATTTGACTCCGGTGATGAATAACGATTAATTTCGAGTTTGCAATACATTCGATTCATTTCCGTTTCCGTTTTTCTCTCCGACCCGAAGTTGTAATTTTTTCTAATTAAAAAAAAAAGGAAAAAATTTCGAATAACTTTCTCATGCACGAGATCCTTTTTTTTTCTCTGTCTGTTTTCCTCACCTCCTCTCTCATCCTTTCATCCCCCATCCTCCCCCCTTCTAGACAAAAAAAAAGGGTGAAAAAATATAATAATAAAAATACCTTTCGTGAAAAAACGATATAGAAAAAAAAAAAAATACTAAAGTCGAAAATAAAGACGACTCACCACCGAAAAAAAATAAAAACGACGACGACGACGGCGGCGACGGCGGAAGGATGGGGAGATGAGGGGGTAAGGGAAGAACGTGAAATAAAAAATGGCGGCAAAATCAAACCGAAAAAATGCAAAATATTATGCAAAATGTATGAGATTGAATTTGAAAAAGATTAGAAATGGAACTTTTGGAGAAGAAAAAAGGAAAAAAAAGGAAAAAGTCTCGGAGGGTGACGACAATAAGAATTTTCTTTTTTTTTCCTTTTTAAAAAAAAAAAAAAAAAGAAAAATCGTTTCGAAATCTAATATTTTTTTAACGGATTTTCTGAATCTCATCAAAAAAAAAAAAAAAGGAACTCAAAGAAGGCTGTGGTGAAAAAAAAAAATGAAAATGAAAAAGAAGAAAAAAAGGTAAAAGTAAAATAAGTAAAAAAAAAGGAAGGAAAAAGGGGATTCCCTCCTTATTATACTACTATTATTATTATTACTATTATTATTATTATTATTATTATTATTATCATTATTATTATTATTATTAGTGACAGATTTGTAATTATTTCAATTTTTTTTTTTTTTTTTGCCCAAAAATTTTCTTAACAAATCCCATTTTGAAAATTTCCAATTTTGCAGCAGCAGCATCAGAAAGTGCAAAATCCAAGGTGTGGATTTGCCTCCTTCTTTCCCGACTCCCTCGCCTCCTCCCCCATAAAAAGGTAGCGATACCAACATTGAAAAAAAAAAATTTTCATCCAATCGAAAAGAAAAAATTATTCACGCAATCAATCGGATATGTATAAAATTATTATTATTATTAATTATTCTCCGACTTAACCGAAATTAATTCGCCTAATCGATCAATCAATCATTCCTCTCGTTTAAGACGTTTTTGCTCTTCATTCTCGCTAACGATTATTACGCCGAGGAAAAAAAAAAGACGAAGATTTACCGAATTATTTTAAATTAAAATTTTACTCCCACTTATTTCCTTCCTCCCTCCCTTCCTTCCCTTCTCTCTCGGGGTCCCCGGAAAAAAAACAAAAAACAAAATGGCGGTTTAATTAGAAAATATTTTACGTGTTATCACGTCGGTCAGGATTTATGACGATGACATATGACGTCACGAGTAAGGGAAAAACGGGGAAAAAAATTTTTAAAGTCAATTCATCGTTTAAAATAAAAGAAATAAAAAGGAAAAAAGGAACGAAGAAAAAGTTTTTTTTCCTTTTTTACCTTTTTTACATAGGTACACGTCCGACGCAGACTTTTTCTTATTTTTTGCAATTAAAAAAGAAAAAAAGAAAAAAAAAGAAATTGCCGTTTGAGAAAGGAAATACGCTTGGGGCTCTCTAAGGAAAGAAAGAAAAATATGAATTTTTTATAATTTCATATGCATAGTCGTCTTCCCCCTACGACCTCTCTCTCTTCTTCTCCTCCTCTCTCTTCTTCTTTCCTTTTTTCCTCCCTTTCCTTACTCCACCTCCTCCTCCTTCTTTTCCTTTTTCTTTTTCCTTCTCATTCATCACCTACGTATATGTTTTCTTCCCTCTCTCTCTATTTTTTTTCTTCTTCACCCTCCACCTTATTTCGTTCCTCGCCATTTTTTTCTTTCCACCCTTTTTTTTTCTTATTCTTTTTTTCTTTCTCTCTCCTCTCCACTCTCCTCTCTCTCCCATTTTTTTTTTCTTACATCGCTAAGGAAATGATGTAATTTTTAATAAGTTCCCGCAGTTGAGCTTCTTCGTTTCTATGACGACGTTCTTCTCTTCTTGTACACACACACACACACATTTGTTATGTTTTCTTAAATATTCACTCGTCTCGTCTTTGTCTACCCTCCTTTTCATCCCCATCCTCATCTCTTCGCCTCAGTCACCTTCGATTTTCTCTTATTTCTTTTCGTCCGTACCTATTTCACTACATTATTAGTTTTCCCCCACCACTCTTCCCGTCAAATGGGGGTTTTTAAAATAATAAAGTTTGGGGGGAAAAAAGTGGAGGAGGAATGGGAAGGGGGGCAAAGAAGGAGGAAAATTTTTAATTGTAAAGTTTTTTAAGTGAATCAATTAAAACGAAATCGACACTTTTTACGGTGTCGTAAAATCCGATCGTAAAAAAAAATAATTCTTTCGAAGATGATGAAGAAGAAAAGATGGCCGGAAAGAAGAACTGAAATTATTTAAATTAACTTGTTTCACAAAAAGGCAGAAGAGAAAAAAAATAAAAAAAAAGGAAGAAAAAACACTTCCACCCTCTCCCCTCACACAGAGTACAAAATTGGTCGTGATGCATCCCTAAATTTCAAAAACTTGTCCCTTCGGTCCCCGGGGGTTTTAAAAACGCCTTCGTTTCATTTTCACTCGTTTCCCTTCCCCCTCGTCCACCACCACCCTCCGCTTACTCCCTACTTATTACACTTTCCCCCTCCCACCCCCCAAACATTGCCCTTTACGCTTTCAAATGGTAGTAGCTATCTCCTTTTAGTAGTTCCTTCTCCCTTTCTTCAAAGGAAAAAAAAAAAAGGAAAGTGGCTTTTTTTTTGCCACTTTGTTTTTCACCACTCTTAACCAAAATACTTTTTACTTATTTTATCACTTCTTTTTTTTCTTAATCTATTCTTTCCCCTCCCCCTTCACCCCTCACCCCGCTATCTTTCCCTTCTTCCTCTCTCCCCGTCTCTCTTTTTTTCCTTCTTAATTTTTGTTCTCGTTCGAGCACTTTTTTGACGTACGTAATAAGAAACGAACTTTTCAATTTTTTTTTTTTACCTTTTTCTCTCTCTCTCTCTCACACACAATTTTTCTATTGCCACGTCTCAAATCCGCGGCATCGAAATTCAAAAATTGTTTTTTTTTTTTTTTTAAATCAAACACAAAAAAAAATTATTTTATTATTTAAAAAAAAAAAATTTTTTTTTTATAAGCGGAGCCCCGTCGTCGTATATTTGCAAAAATGACGTCGACGCTCCGTGTCGACAAACCATAAAAAAAAAAAACTCGAAATTATTGTTATACCCATTATCGATAAACATTTATTTATTTATTTTATTATTATTATTATTATCATTGACAAAGAGATCCTTCGCCTACCTGGCACCCTCACCTGACGTCGTCGTCATCGTCGCATACATACATACATATATTTATTTATTATTTTTATTTTTTTCTGCGTCATTAAATTGCGAATATAAATATTTATTTTTATACGTATTCATAATAAAATGGCGGATTTTTATTTAAAATCCATGAGACAATTATTTAAAACAAATTACTCCGTTCCCTCCCTCCCTCCTCCCGTCTCTCTCTCTCTCTCTCTCTCTCTTTCTCTCTCTCTCTCTCCCTCTCTCTTCTCCTCTCTTTATTTCCCTCGCTCGTACAAAAAAAAATTTATTATTATTTGTTTTTTTTTAAATTTTCTCGTTTTTTTTTCTTCCTTCTTCTTCTTCTTCTTTTTAGCTTTAACTTCTCGTGACTGACTTTCAAAATATTTTTATATTTTCTTCTTTGTTTATATGACGTAATTCAACGTAATTAATCTTTTCTTCCTACTCTTTCTTCTTCTTCTTTCCATTCTCGATTCACTTATTCTTCTCCTTATCACTCCTCGATTCGCAGCA